TAGAAAAGTCGCATCTTTTTCATTTTTTTTTTAAAAATAGATATCGTAACCAGTTTATAATTATCCGTTAGGATTTGACCAACATATCAAAAATCTTTCTTTTCAATCTTTTTTTAGGATCTGGATATAGACTTTAATATTTGTGGGGTGTAAAATTACACGATAAAGTACTCCTCAGTATTAAAGATACAAAGTGTAAATAAATGTGATACTAAAATTTAGACTTTAGAACGGTTAAGATTTAACCATATAAGGTAGAAACTCTCTCATAAAGAGATATCTACCCTGAGTTTTAGAAAAGACCAACAAATAGAAACCTGACTTAAAAAAATAATCAAACAACAATGCAGCTTACTTTAGGTAGGGTGCACTAGAGGTGATATATTTTTTCTTTGCACAACCAGTCCCTCATTCAGACTCTCATAGACCATAAGTTTTCTGTGGCGACTCCCAAAAATTATTTGTAATTTTTCAACATACAACACCAATTATCAAAAGACATAAGAAGAGTCTCCATCGTCGGCAGAGAAACAATTTCATTGAACTTCAATCGGTGTGATATGTAACCAATTGTTGAGTAATTAATATATACATGTTTAATATGCATACACAGCAATTTAGGTCCGAAAGTGCTATTAAGACTAGCATTTTTCCTTGATTAGCTAGTAGTAATTAGTAATATGTCCCTGATTAGATGTAAGTGCTCTGATGCGTTGTATTTATTATTCATTTCTTTCACTTTCATGTGATATTTGGAGAGTTATTATTTGATCAGATCAATGTGAACCACGTGAATTTAAAAAAGAAAGAAAGAAAAAAAGTTAGCTCAGGATCGAGCACAGCATTTGAAATTTGAACTCCGGCTATATTTTGAATGATTTGAATGGATGGATGATTTTCAAGATTTTCAAGTCGCTGGTTGCAAGCTTGGCACTCAAAACTGAAAAAAAAAAAATATAAGGTCTTGTCAGCTTGTGTCCAAGCGTTAATAGGACAATATATTTTATTTTGGTTTCCAGCTTTGATATAGTACCTTAAATAGCTCGTAACAGTCTCCAACAGCTGCCGATCGAAGTGTTCTTGTTTAATGAAAAGAAACGAAAATCAATGTGTCGTGGCATTTATGTTTGAGTTATTTGAAGTTTCAAAAACCAAAGAAAACTCTCACTCACCCCACGTAAGCTTTGGTTCTACTTTCTACGTTGTTTTGTTTGCAGAGAATCTTCTTTTCTCAATCAAGGCAGACTTGAGGTTGGGTTGGCCAAAAAGCTTTCTTTGCATGAAAAGAGTGCTTGCCTTTTCACTTTCCAACCACTCTCGCACATTTTCTTAAGGTTATTTGTGAAGCACAGCCTTTTTTTTTTCTGTTTTCGATGGTGGATTTGGGATTTGATTATTATTAATCTGCTACTTAAAAAAAAGATCATCAGAGCACACCACTTTCCAACATTGCTCTACACGCGCTGCTGAACTAATGCGTGGTCTTAAGTATGTGACGATTACATGTAATAATACTACAATATGCATGGTTCAGATTAAACAATTGCTAATGGAATTGTTTACTGTAAAAAACAATGATCAAGCTAGCATACGCGATCCATGCTCAGACTCAAAACGATGGATGACAGTTGGAATCCATTAAATCTTATTGATCATCAAGGATGGCAAGAGGGACGACTGCATGCGGCACAAAAGCTGTAATCTATTAATTTGTTGCTGTGGATTTATTTTACAAATATTTGTTTAGTAGAAAAAGAGGAGAGTGGAGACAATGCCTTCGATGGGAATTGGGAAAGAACAAAGATCTAGGTAAAGTTAGGTGTCTGCTAGAGGAGGGGTTAGATCAATCACCATGAAATTAGGACTTCCAGAAGAGAAAAAAAATGAAATGCTTCTATTTTTTTATGGGACTGTGGTGCAAGTAGTCAATGTTGCTTGCACATTTGCTGGACTATGATCTTCAAGTATCCAATTCTTATGTCAAGGAGAACCTTTATATATATATATATATTAAGGTAGCTAGATAACAAAGGCTAATTACTTTGATCATGTAATTAGTGGCACCCCTACTTTTCTTTTAAGAATAGATCCAAAATACACATACTTTTCTTTTAAGAATAGATCCAAAATCCGAGTCCCTTAGGGCAGCACACATAAAAAATATGATTTTACATGATTGAAATCTTGCAAGTGTTATTTTCCATCCCCAAAACTACTTGATTGTGAAGGGAAAGGAGAACAGAAGCACGAAGTTCAAAGGGTGAACTTTATTAGCTCCGGCAATGCACATGATTAAGACATGGAATTTTGACTTTGCCGGGATGATGGTGACGTATGTTGGGAAAAATTTTGCTCAAGGAAAAAAAAAAACAAGATTGCAACAATCATACCAATAGAAATTAAATTAAATTGGTTGTCTTGTATAAAGAACAGAAATTTGGTTGTCAGTTATCAAAGAAAAGAAATTTGGGTGATCAGTGAACGAATCATCTACACATAAAATCTTTTATCATTCTAATTATGAAAGGATCCAATGTAAATACCAACTAGAGTTTAGATTGAGCAGCAATGACTTGCTATCACAGATTTAATTGATTGCTTTCTTTCACGGATTTAATTGATTTGTTGATCGAATCTCTCCAAATAAAAAATAAAAAAATCCAATATAATCATGCATACATGAATCCATCATTACTCATGTAATAGCATTTGATACATATCCATACCAAAAAGAGAAAAGGAAGTTTTTTTTTTTTTTGAGTAAATAACAAGAGGGGGGGGGGGGGGGGAGTACTGTACAGAAGAAGTATACAGAGATCATGTGAAAGTCAATTATTGTGTCCTTCTTAATTACTAGTAAAGTCATTTGATGATGTCATTCAATTGGGGAAGTCAATCGATGTGATTTATAGAGAATTAAGATTAAATTCCATCTACCATAGGGAGATGAGACGGATTAGGAGAGGGACTTTTACCCACTTACCCTTCTCAATCAATTTGAGCACATTGAATTCTAAATATTCTGTATCTTTTCAGTCCTTTATACACTTGTTTACGCCCCAACATTCAACATAAGATTTCAAATATTTGATTCCAGATTTCATTTTCTAAATAGCTTTAGTACATAGTTTCTTTAAAAGGCAATATACTAGCTAGTTCCAAAGCCTTTTACTACCACAACAAAGCAATAGGCGAGGTCAAATAGCTCAAAATCTTGGTGACCTATGCAAAGCCTTTGAACAGCCTCGTGGACATGTGCCTATATTTATTGAGATTTTGCTTTTTACATGCGCTGAGAGGTCACATTCCATTGCGAGCACCATAATAAATCCCAACATCTTTTTCCATTTTTGCAAGACCGGTACTTATCTTTCCCTTGGAGGAATCAAATTCTCTGGTGAAATATTTATTGCACCTTAATTTCACTTTGATTTAATCATCATCCAAACACTTCCTCCATCTCGTTAATTTCTCCTCAGTAGCAGTGCTTTGGGTTAAAAAAAAAAACACATTGCTGTATATACAAGAATATCAAGAAATCTTGATACTCTAATTATATCTACAATAATCAAACACATTATCTTTCTTTTTTCTTTTTTACAATTGCAAATGCCACAAAATAGTGCAGAGATTTTACCCTTTCTTCCATCCTTGTTATGTGGTGTCGTTCTCCCTGTAGTTTTTTCAAGTGTTTGTACAGTTTTTCTTTTCCATTAAAATTTAAAAAGAAAAAAGAAAAAATAAGCAAAGGGTTTGTGCCCTTAACACGTGTGGGCCCTGAAGCATGTAAATGAATCTGAATGGTGAGGGCCATGTGTCATGGTGGAGATGAGAGCAGCTGAATGCGAAGCAGTAAGCTGACCAGTAACCTCTTATGACTGTCTGTGACTCTCTCTCTCTCTCTCTCTCTCTCTCTCTCTCCCCCTCCTCTTTCTCTGTGTCTGTCGTCATCTCGAATCCCCCGCAAGCTTAGAAAAAAGCAGTGATATTTTTTTTGCAGTGAACGAGGCCACCCTTTTTCATGTTTGTTTGTTTTTTTAGTTTACCCAAATTAACATTGTACCAAAATATGAAAACACTTGCAAAATTGATAGGTACCCATAAATCATAGGACTAAACTATATAGCTAGGGACGGTGAATTAGCTCAACTAATCCTCTGACTCATCTTCTTTCTTACGTGTTTATTGTCTTATATTATCGTCAATGCATCATCACGTTATCATATCTACGGACGCCTCATTCAATGTCGATCAAATTCTTGAGGGATTTGGTTTAGGTCGGCAAGTGAGTTCATGCTTTAGATATGATCAATTTCATCATATACTAATTTAATATGATAGCATGTAAATTTGGTATGAAAATATTTTAAGCTTAATGAATATTATATATAAATTAGTATGAACGTTGTATAAAAACTGATTCAAAAATACCATATTGGTTAAAAAAATCGAATGTGAATTTAATCTATATATGTGAGACATGGCTTGAATAATACCATATTAGTTTGTTGAGAAAAACACAAAATAGAATATGAATTTATCCTAGTTAATTAGTTGATGGAAACGGAAGAAAGAAAATAGTATAATAATTAAGAACACACTCACAATGCTCATGGTGATCATGAATAGGTAACAAAATTCTTGATTAATGCCAATGGGAAGTATAGCTAGGGTTAGACATAGAAGTAGTGATATGGGTTAATCGAGATTTAATACTGTATCACTTTATATATATATAAAAAAGGGTATAATTAAGATGTTATTGTTAGCAAAACAGAGATAGTACTTGGTAATTTATTTTAAGCATAAACATATGATGGTGTGATTAGGTCATGATGATATATCGCGGCACACATGGGATTTAATTTGACACCGTGTAAAGAGGGAAAGAGAGCAAAAGGAGGGGGCTAAAATCTATATATATACACACAGAGCAAAAGGAGGGGGCTAAAATCCCCACACACACACACACACATATTGCATTGCATGGTAGAGAACGATGAGATTGATGAGAATGATGGGAGGAAGAGAGATGGGGTGAGTTAGAGATAGGGGTCGTGGTCATTTCTCTGGTGCCCGAGACCCATTTGTAGGGTCAGTGGGTCTGCCGCTTTTATTGCTTTCTTTGTCCTTTTCACCTTTCATCTCTCTTCCTGCCCTTTTTATCTCCTTGTTTTCCTTGCTCGTTTCTCATTCACCATGATCATACAGACCCATCTCTCTCTTTCTCTCCACCCTTAACTCTTTATATCTTTCGCCTCTCTCACAATATGTTTGGTTTAGAGGTCCTTTTTCTTGAGGAAATAAATAAGGGTGGTCTAGAGTTTGCTTTGGTTAATTAGGTTTTTGATTGAGAAAGAGGGGGAAATGGAAGCTATTTCTTTTGAGGGGAATGTTGTCTGGCTCGAGGTCACTAATGGGATCTATGATTTTATCTCAATTGATTGACTTTCTTTTAAATTCTAGTAAATTGAATTGAGAGATCATGATCAACTTATATTTAATGATGTCGGACCAGGCTTCATTCCCCCCAATTATTTCTTCCTTTCAAATCGTTGATCACTAAAATTAATTTCCCTTCCATTTTTGGTCTGGATCTAAAAGGTGAGAGTTAGTATTTTGTAAATCGTATCTTGTTATTTTCTGTATGTATATTTCTGTGCACATGTGTGTTTACTTGTTTTAAATTGATTTTGGAATGTTTTTGTGCATGGGTTTTTTGGTCAATAGAAACACTCTAATTCTTTTGAGCATGAGCTCGCAGATTGGTGTAATGATGAGGGATTTTGACTACCTTTTCTTTTGTTTTTCTCCTTCTTTTATGACTGAAAGAGGAGGATGGATCTTCATCATTACCCTTTTATATTTTATCCCTAAATTTTATGGATCAGGGTTTTATGTTTCCTTGTCAGTCTATCTAGCTAACTCTTCCATCTTCATCATTGAAACTAGTTTTTCTCATGATGGCTCCAAGAATCTTATCTGTCTGTTTCTGGTCCTTACTGATCCACACTCTAATTGGCTTCTTTTTCGCACTTCAACTGCCATAAACCTCTAGGGTTTCATCAAAATGAGCTTACCTTATTAGACCACAGTTACTTGCTTATTCAATATGTATATATGTTTTGTCATTTTTCTTTCCCCTATGCTATTTCATTTAACTAGAAAATAAGATCAAAATATGTATTATACAATTTTTTTTTTTTGTGTAATAAGTCATAACTGCTTTAATTGGCATCAGATGGTTGTATACTTGTCTCTTCATCTTTCTGTGCCACTTTTGAGAGTGGTGGTGGGTGGTAATCTCCTCTCCTCTCCCTTTTGTTTTGTTTCTGCTTTTTCTTTATCTTATGGTTACCTTTATGTTAAAGCTTTGATCTGTGCCCTTTGGTCAACTCATGTCCTTTGCATGCTTGAAGAGATCATGGGCTACACCCAGCTGTTGCATACGTATGGAAAGTAGCTAGCTAGGGTTCCGTCCTTGAATTTCCATAACTTTTTTCTTATGTAATGTAGCTTATATTTGTAAGATAATTTGATCCTTTGCTAAAACAATTTAGTTTTCTTCTGTGAGTCATTTGCTGGCGTGAAGCTTCTTCCATTACCTTAGAGAGAGGTGGAAGAATGATTAATCTTTCAACTTGCTATATATGCTGATCCATCTATTACTTGAAGTGAAACCCTGTTATAACCTCTGTGGCTCGTGCATAAACTATGCTGTGATTCAGTGCATTTCACTCTAAAGAAGAGAATATGATGTGATGGACTGGACCTTTGATTTTGCTTGACCATGCAGTCTTCTTCTGCCATACATGAGCAGGAACTTGTAGTTTTGGACTAAAAGCTTTTGCTCCTGTCTTCTCTAAAAAGCTAGAAATCTAAATTCCTAACATTCGAGGGGGAAACTTTGATATGCTTTACACTGGTATGCAAATTTTTGTTTTCATGTTAAAATGTAGGGATATGGAGCATTTTTTTTGGCTGAATATATAGTGACCATATTGTTGTGGTGTAGTTCTTTGCCGCAATTTCACATACAACAACAACAACAACAATCTATGTCTTAATTTATTGGCTAGATTATGTTATTACTGTTAAGAATTACAAGAAAATGTAGGATACAAACATCCTCTCCGTGTGGTTTTGATAATTTACACATGCACATTATTCTAATTTAATTAGGTTAAAGAGAGTTCATCATGTACTAACAGGAAATCAAACACAAAACTAAGTGAAGGTGGTTACTCTTTAAGTTCTCTTATTTGTAGAGTCCGTAAGGAGCAAAAACCGTAGAAAAATGAAAGAAAGACGGATATTTAGAAAAGGAAACAGGTGATCGGAAAGGTGAATGAGAGAAGCCTCATCAAGAAGACAACCTTGATGTGTCTTCTTTGATAGGCGTTTTTGCTTAGCTTAGAATTTTCTTATTTGCTTGGCGTTGTGGAGTAGTGCGTTCCAATTTTCTCTTATTCTGTCATCAATTTCTAAGTCCGAGCCATATGTACACTGAATGCCTTTAATGGTCTGACTCTCTCTCTCTCTCTCTCATTATTTACTATTAAACAGTTTAGTCACATCAGCATTGATGCCATGGATTCCTCTTTACCCTGACTGTGATAAATGACGACTATGATGTATCTATTATTTGGAAGAAGTCAGAACTGTGTGCTATTAGACCGCATTGTTTGAATTTTGTATTTCAAGAAGTTATTAAGAATCTAGTACAGTTATGTCAGCTTAATTGGTGCAACCCTCTTTTCCATCTCTCAGAGTTACTCTGTGGACTGTTCTTTGAGTTGCACATTCGCTTAATACAAACCCAGATTATTCAGGGAGCAACTTCGATGTGCAATTGGTATTTTGCCTTGAAAGTGTTTCGATTCTTGGAAAATGGAGGTTTTCAATTTGTGCTTCCTCGATCTAGTGGATACATAAACTGCATTTCTTGGAATTCATTTTTGTTGACTCAGTGTTTTCTGGTTTTGATTTTCTAAGCCCTCAAAGTATGTGTCTAGCTGAGAGGGTGAGAGTGAGAGTGAGAGTGAGGGAGAGGGAGAGTTCATTACCCAAAACCTGAGTTCTTCATCTCCCAGAAACAACAATAAATAAACTAAAATAGAATAAAAAATTCATGCTGCCCAAGACATCATGAGTTCCTCCAACCCAGCACCAGAGCTAGTAAGAAACAACAATACTGCTGTGCGAATATCCAATTAATTAATTATTATTATTCTTATTATTATTAGTTTTGATTATCGTGGATGTGCGGTAATTTATTTATGTGCATCTTAGTTATTATTTTTTTATTTTATTTTCATCTTAATTAATCTTATAAATTCTAAAATTAATAATTATATAAATCTTCAATAATTCTAAGAGAAATTAATTAATTATTTAGTTAACAGGATAGGTTCTCTTCATTTTTTATTTTATTAGAAAACTCTGTATTAAAAAAAAAACTAAAGAAGAAAAGACACACACAGTTTGACACTAGGTTGGAGGAATGTATGATGTCTTGTGCATTACATAATCCTTGTCTAAAACCCCTTTAGTGAAGTATCTTGGACTGGAGACACATCCAGCTTTCTTTTTATTATGGTTTTTTTCCTGGAACCAAGCTTTTCAAAAGGTTGATTTGTCTAATTAATGAAGGCTTCTCTCCCAAAGTAGCCATTTAGGTAGGTCCTATCTCTCCATCGACGGGTTCCTGGAAATTTCTTGCAAACATTAATGGGATGTTCCCCATGAAGAAATGGATGTCTCCAAAGGGAGGACATGTTAACGCAGTGGTAGTAGGGCATATACAGCCCACATTTTATAGGCTTTACCCTTTTCACTGGTCCATTTTGGCCCGAGAAAAATTTCAATTTTAGCTAATTAGTTATTTTTTAAAATATTTTTTATATAAAAATATATAAAAATAATTTTTAATTTTTTTTTATCAAAATGATCTAAAAATATATTAATTTAAAATAAAAAATAAAAAATTTAAATTTTTTAAAAACACTTTTAAAACATAAAAATAAAATTTTCTCAACAAAATAAATCTTAAATGTAAAAGGTTGTGGCCCCTTTGCATGAGGTTGAAGAAAACGTTGCCTTCATTGTCATAGGCTCTCCAGTAATGGAATTGATCCAGAATATCCAATAGAAATATCCATCCCAAATTAATGAGTTTCCCATATGATACAGACTTCTGATACAATAGGTTTTGACTTGGAGGTCCTATCCTCCTATGTGAAATCAAGTGTGCTCAGATGACATTTTTTATTTGAAATGCATGTTTAAGGCAAATTACATTACTGTTAATACCACTAATTATATGATGCAACTGGAAACAAGATTATATTATAGCGAATATTATGCTAGTTAACATCAAATAAAAATTCTCAATTTACAAAATTTTTGAACAAAAAATTAGATCCAAAGTCCAAATCTTATTATCCATATGGTCTACCATCTATTTTTTCAATAATCTCAACAAAACCTCATTTTTTAGAGATAAATATCATTTTTTATATGTTATTTTAAAAAAAAAAGATCAATGTTTAAATTTTAAGATATCCAAAGTCCAAATCTTATTATCCATATGGTCTACCATCTATTTTTTCAATAATCTCAACAAAACCTCATTTTTTAGAGATAAATATCATTTTTTATATGTTATTTTTTTTAAAAAAGATCAATGTTTAAATTTTAAGATTAAATACAAGTTACGTTAATTTTTAGCAATTTTGATGAAATTATTTATTAAGACTTAACATTAACATGTTTGACAAGTCTTCTATTTTTAGGGTCTAGTACTATTTTTTGATGTTTTTAAATATCAACATCAAACATTTCACAAAATAATTAGAAAATAAAAAAATAAAAAAGTCTAAAAATAATTAGGATAATTGATGGCAATCAAAAAAATAAATTTAAAAGAAACACATAATAGATGTAATCTTTCATAAAAAAATAATATTGTAAGGATAACATTTTTCTTTCTTTAAACATAGCTAACCACTTACCTGAATTTGTAGAACTAGTGTATATTTTAGGATCCCTAGTTTTCTTTAATTACAAGGTGGCAACTTCAGTTTTTCATGATATATATTTAGTCTCAGCCAATGTCATAGTGTGACAGAATAATAACTCAACTAGGTAATATTGGGTTTAGACTAATTACTTGTGTTTATTTTTTTTAATTTCAGTTCTTTTGATTGTTATGTTATCTACATATGAATTTTTTTATAAATATTTTTCTTTATTTATTCTCAGAATATTTCATTTTTATTTATAATATTATTGCATGCATATGTATATTTATCATGAATGTTGCATACTTTATAAAAAAGTTGATGAAAAGCCTGGATTCGAGCTAAACCCATTTGAGATTTGATAGGTAGATTTGATGATGAGTTTAAGATTCAATGGGAGTGTAACTTATGTTTGCTAATGCTTATTTAGACTCCCACTCAAATTGGAACTCACCTTGTTTATTGAGTATCATATAATTTTCCTTAAGTTTATAATATATAAGGTGAACAGGCTAGGTTACCCTATTGGTAATTTGAATAATCTAGGAGCCTGAAAAGTTTTCAAGTTTAGACTAGTTGAGCCTGAAATCTTTATGAAGTAGATCTTTTTTTTTAGGATTGACCCTTCATAAAACACAAATAATAATATGCATTGACATGTATATTCATCTTTTTATTGTTTTCTTATTTTATCTCCTTTGATCCTTATAGAAAGTGAGAGATGAGAAAACATGATGCCATTGAGGACACAAAAACGAGGTCAGAGCAAGCCAGAAAGATGAAGGAGACTTTTTGCTTATAAGGTTTACGTCAAAATTGCTTGAATAAATGGAACAGGATGAAAAATTATCTTGCATTGGTTAGCTTTTAGACTACTAGGAAATATTATCTTCAAGTGAACAAATTGATTTTCAATAGCAATTTAAGGACATAACTCGAATGCTTAAGATCAAAACATAATATTCTTGTTTTGAGGCCATGATAAAGTTTTAGAATTTAAAATACAAGTACTTTACTTTTGATATAACAGATATAACTCCCACTTTCAAAGAATTTGACTCTTTGTTATCTATGGTTAGATAAAATGTACTTCTACACACCAAGAAAACAAGCCCTATCTAACCATGCCTGGATTAATAAGATAGGCAAGAAATAGGTAAAAGAACAAACAATCATATGAGAAAATATTCAATGGTGGTAGTAAAATCTTTTAGAAGTTACATTTACGAAGAAGCCCCATGATGAAGAAAATGAAGACCATATGCAAATATTAACATTAGGTATTTATGGTTTGGTCTTATTCCAATCAGCAGAAGGAATGATTGACTTTAAGATAATGAACATGTCTAAAAGTGTGGTTTTTCTCAAAATCAATCCAATCATAACAGTTTTATCAGAAAATTTATTTTCACTGAGCCATTGTCAAAAAACTAGAAAAGGGCATTTGATATGTTGTTTACTATTGTTTTTTGTATAAATCATTAGTCATTGAGTGGAAGGAAATATTTTTGGTTTGCTGAGGACTCCATGACACTTGTACTTGAAACTATATAAATTCACAAAACAACCATTAAAGGAGGTGGGACAGAATAACTGGGAATCCATATTTCATAGTTTGAGCAAGTTTGCTTTTCATTGAAAGACTAAACATGCTTATTTTCAAATATATTTAGCTTATTACAAAGCTTATTAGTGGCTCCCATTGATAGGAACACATTTTTGCATTAGTTATTGCCCTCATATGATTTTATGATAATTGAGACTTGAACAATTCATATCTCAGACTACTGGATTAAATGAGTTCTACAAAGACTTTAAAACTTTTAAAAAATTGATTGAAACAATTAAACAAGCCTGGAAGCACTATGGTATAATGGTATTTGCTAATAAAGTTTATAAGAAAACAACTCTAAGTTACCTGATATGAAAAAAGCCAAAGAAAAAAGCTATCAGGTCTTATCACATAAGGGTCTTTAAAGACCCATGGTTCAACCATGAAAGATACACAAAAAGATCTTTGAGCTCAATAAGAGATCTATATTGAGAATTTAAATATAAAGTTAGAACAATTTAGGGCAAAAAAAAGAAAGTCAAAGTCTAATTTAGTTGTTCATCAACAAACTCTAGTCATAATAAAAAGAGAGAAAGATGGTTTATGCCCAAGTGTAATAATAGCAACAAGATTTTCGGGAGTTATAAGATAAATTTAATTTGTTATCAGAGACCAAAAATAAATAAGATAATAAAATAGCAAAAATGACTCAAGCAACATTGAAAGCTCAAGAAAATATTACAGAATTAAAGTGAATAAAAAAAACACTTAAAAAGTTATTTCGACAGTAAAATATATAACTACTCAACTTAATAATTAATATAGAGTTTTTATTAACTTGGCTAGCAAGTTTCTTATCACCGAATAGATTTTAAGTAGAGATAATATCATTTTCACTTGATAAATTTTAACAAGTTTGTTTTCATCAATAAGATATTAACTAGAAAAAAATGTTTATTAATATTTTAAAAAGGTTTTTATAATTCTAAATATTATGATGGTTTATTTTTATTTTTATATAATTAAATAAATAATAATATTTTTTTTTACTTTAAAAGAAAAATACTGCGTATCATTCTATAGTTTCAGATCGTAAAAGGACTAACATTTTTATTTTTATTTTTTGTCAATGAGTTATGATAATATTACACAAGGTAGTTA